GTTGTCTCCTGTTGCTTAGGTACTCCTCTATCCACCGGAGTACCTTCCCTTTCACTCCAGCCTGCGTCTCCAACTTTCGCACTAGCCTCTTGTGTGGCACTGTATCAAAGGCTTTCTGACAATCCAAAAATATGCAGTCTGCCCACCCTTCTCTTTCTTGCCTTATTTTTGTTGCCTGGTCGTAGAATTCAAGTAACCCTGTGAGGCAGGACCTGCCATCCCTGAACCCATGTTGATGCTGTGTTACAAAGTTCCTTCGCTCCAGATGCTCCACTAGTTTTTTTCGCACAATCTTCTCCATCAGCTTGCATGGTATGCAGGTTAGGGACACTGGCCTGTAATTCAGTGCCTCCTGTACTCGCCTAGTTGTGTTTCCGGGGGTTGAGCTCTGGCTCTTTGGTCCCGCCTCTCAACCGTAATGGGAGAATCGAAGCGAAGTGTGTGTGTGTGTGTGTTTGTGTGTGTGTGTGTTTGTGTGTGTGTGTTTGTGTGTGTGTGTTTGTGTGTGTGTGTGTGTGTGTGAGATACTCTACACTCCCCACCAGTTACCCCTCCCACTCTTTCTCTCCATGTTGCTTTCTCCCATATCTCTTAGTGTTTTATATCCTGCCCCCCCCCCCCTCCCTATCTCTTTTGATGTCTCGTCTACTCCCCAACTATCTCTTTTTGTATCTCCCCTCCTCCTCCCCCATCTCATTTGGTATCTCCTCTTCCCCCCCCCCCATCTCTTTTGGTATCTCCTCTCCCCCCTCCCATCTCTTTTGGCATCTCCTCTCACCACCCTCTCCCCCCCCCCGTCTCCCACTCCCTCCTCTCTTGGAGTCTTCCCTCTCCCTCCGTCCTCCTCAGACTAGCCACCATCTTGACCGTCCATGCTGGTGGTGGTGTCCTTTCACTTGGGACGGGAGCGGAGAGGCCGGGAGCGCGGGGGGTACGCTCTGCTGGAGCTGTAAAAACGGTTAACGGTGTGGCAAGTGTGGCGGTGGTTCTCTGTGGGGGCGGCCCACCCCATGTTTGGCGGGGCGGGGGGGGGGAGGGAGGGAGGGGCGTGGGGGGAGGGGCGTCGTGTGCTTATACCTTATAGAAGCACTATAGGTTAAATAAGTTGTTCAATTGCATATCGTATGCAATTAACTAGTTTTTCTCCCCTTCCCCCTCGTGTTATTCTCCCACTCCATCAGGCATGTCTCCCACTCCATCAGGCATGTCTCCCACTCCATCAGGCATGTCTCCCACTCCATCAGGCATGTCTCCCACTCCATCAGGCATGTCTCCCACTCCATCAGGCATGTCTCCCACTCCATCAGGCATGTCTCCCACTCCATCAGGCATGTCTCCCACTCCATCAGGCATGTCTCCCACTCCATCAGGCATGTCTCCCACTCCATCAGGCATGTCTCCCACTCCATCAGGCATGTCTCCCACTCCATCAGGCATGTCTCCCACTCCATCAGGCATGTCTCCCACTCCATCAGGCATGTCTCCCACTCCATCAGGCATGTCTCCCACTCCATCAGGCATGTCTCCCACTCCATCAGGCATGTCTCCCACTCCATCAGGCATGTCTCCCACTCCATCAGGCATGTCTCCCACTCCATCAGGCATGTCTCCCACTCCATCAGGCATGTCTCCCACTCCATCAGGCATGTCTCCCACTCCATCAGGCATGTCTCCCACTCCATCAGGCATGTCTCCCACTCCATCAGGCATGTCTCCCACTCCATCAGGCATGTCTCCCACTCCATCAGGCATGTCTCCCACTCCATCAGGCATGTCTCCCACTCCATCAGGCATGTCTCCCACTCCATCAGGCATGTCTCCCACTCCATCAGGCATGTCTCCCACTCCATCAGGCATGTCTCCCACTCCATCAGGCATGTCTCCCACTCCATCAGGCATGTCTCCCACTCCATCAGGCATGTCTCTCATTTCCCCCTCTTAAACGTCTATCTCCCCCTAATTTGTCGTCTTCTTCCCCCTCATGTTCTTCACCCCGCCCCATGTCTTTCCCGTCTCCGTGTGTGTCTCCCCTGTGCTCTCTGCCTCTCTGTATTTCCCTTTTTTTCCCCTTCTTTCCTCTGCATTCTCCCATTTTCTTCTAACTACAGAGTTGATGAAGAGGGATTATATACATGGTGAACGCCACCATAACCGAGCCAGACCACGAGAGACTCGGGTTGATACTGACGGTGGTTGCTGGCTGCCCCTAAAACTCTCCCCTGCAACAATGGTCTTTTACGTTCCGTGTTTGAGTCACATTCAGGTCCGGAACGTCCACTGCAACGGTTACCAGTTCCTTCTCTCTCAATATGTCTGCGAAACGTTATTTCTCGACAAATTAACGTTTTGCTTTATAATTAGTACAGTAACAAAATTTTCCAAACACAATAGCAGCACTCGTGTTTTAAAATATATTTATTTTAAGTCAATCTAAATTGGTCAAGACGTATCACGCAGTTGGAGAGAAATGATTTTCGACAGACATTGTGTGCTGTACCAGCGTATGGCGGGTCCACGTGCATCTAGGGTTATAATATTTAGCAGTCTCCGTGGTGTAGTGGTAAGACACTCGCCTGGCGTTCCGCGAGCGCTATGTCATGGGTTCGTATCCTGGCCGGGGAGGATTTACTGGGCGCAATTCCTTAACTGTAGCCTCTGTTTAACACAACAGTAAAATGTGTACTTGGATGAAAAAACGATTCTTCGCGGCGGGGGATCGTATTCCAGGGACCATAGGATTAAGGACTTGCCCGAAACGCTACGCGTACTAGTGGCTGTACAAGAATGTAACAACTCTTGTATATATCTCAAAAAAAAAAAAAAAAAAAAAAAAAAAATCTCAATTTCGCTCCTCCTCTGTTGACTCTTGTGTCGCCACCGTTGTGACATAAAAAACAGCTACAACAATGGCCCGTTGACACAATGGCACACAACCAGGCGGTACTCTGGCCGCGGCCTTGAAAACGTGAAAGGAGGGTCAGCTGCGACCGTAAGAATCGGACCTTTCTACCGGAAATTCTTCGACAGTAATTAAGCCCCTTCTCTTTATATGATCTCAAGATCTCTCGGAATGTCCTATCGTACACACGGACTTCTTTCTAGCCAGTATATGAGAATAACATTTATATGGGGAGGAAGTAAGTTCGCATAGAGGCGGCGGGCAGCGGAGTGTATTGTCGCAAGTGAAAGTTTGTGTTGCCCCTCCACCCACTGCTGCACCACCACCACAAGTTATTATCGTGATCGACGCTCCTACTGGGTGTTGTAACGCTACTCTTGTGTTGAGACGACAGTATTGGTACCAATACAAATTAAGAGACGAAAACCTTGAAGCATTGGAAAGGTGACGCAAGACTACGTGGCACCGCGAGCGTGGCGGCGACTGGCGACTGGCAACAGGCGAAGGGGAGGGTGGTGGCGAGGCCGGGCTGTGAGTGCCGAACTACTGCTCCCAGTCACCAACAGTGCGCTGTCGAGAAGAGAACCCGGCTCCCGACCCCTTCTTCCCCCCTCTCGCACCTGACGTCCACTGCAGAGTCCTCGGGATGAGAGGCGTTAAGCATTTTACCGTCCGAGTCAAACATGGTTTAAATGTTTGATACTGGAACTTCTGGAAGGTGGAGGAGTACCGGACACTTCTGGAATAGCTCTAAATTTTCATTATAATCAGTGTTCAGGTTTCCCATATAAGCCATTTTCAGGAGATTAACTCCTTAAAGATATTGCTATTGAAATTATTATATACATGATAGCTGAACAAATTTAAATCGTATGTTGGACCTTCGAATGTGATAGAATAGTCCCTCATAGAATATGCGGATCCAGAGACAATAGCCCTTTAGTCTCTATTACCTATGTCGTCCGTCAGCCCTCCCTGTCCCCGACATTAACGAAGAGATGCAGCACCGGTTTTCGGTTTAGCATTGTGAAATCCCTGCGAATCCTCACACGTGATAATGAAGCGTCTGGTGGTGTCAGCCATCTTGGTCGTATGCGGCCTGCCACGGTCGTCTCCTGATCCCCAACAGAAGTTCCCGGACGATTTTTACAGCGAGACGAGCACCACCTCCATCCCTGGGCCCTTCGGTGAGGACCTCGTCGACAGCTTAGAAGTTAGTCACCCCACCGACTCTCCCGTTCCTCCAGGGTCTCAAGACTTCTTAGGGCCTCTTGACTCAGGCTCCGGCAACGCTCCCCAACACAGTAATGTCGACCTCAGACTCTTGTATAACATGATGCTGAACGACTCGCATCCTTCTGGATTGAAACACAACGGAAACAGAGGTGTGGACACTGTGCTTGTACAGAAGGATACGGGTGGGCTGGCAGCATGTGACCTGACCTTGGCCTTAGCACAAACGACTTTGCCTACTCTTGAGGATGTTTATATTCCTGGTAGCATGTGGGGTGATTTTTGCTGTTTCTCTGTTGTGGCGTGTGTTAAAAAATGAATGGAAAAATGTTCAGTGTTTTGCAGAACTTTGCTATATTACCCGACTGTTTATTTTTCGCACTGTCCTTGCCAACATCAGCACGGCCCCCTCGCCCAGCATACTTGTCTTCACCATACCCACTCCACTTGCACTATCGTATTGACGCTATACACTATTCATATTACCAGCAAGCTCTATCGGCCTACTATCCCAAATCATCATCATTTACACTTAGATTATTGCTCACCATCCTTAACGTAAACTATTAAAATCTGACCAGTGTCAGATTCAATGCATGTTCGTTTCATAAGCAAAGCTGGACAATGCAGTCTTGTCCCACATCGCACCAACATCATCATAAACACTGCGACCAAAACTTCTTTACAGCACTTCCTAAACATTTCCCGCTCGTTGGTGAAACACCTACCCAAGTTCTTTGCCTAACGCCTCATTTAGTACACTTCAAATCCATTAAATGAGTATTATGTTAACAACGAAAGTTAATCACACCCAGCTCTATCCACACAGTTAATTACTCATGCTAATTGCTTCCCGTCTCTCCCACAGCTATCCCGCAGAAGTGCTGGTACAAAAGTAATCAGTATGACTGCGGACTATCGGTTTCCTGTGTGTTCCAGGGCTCTAAACCCATCGATTTGTGCTCCGGGGGCATGATATGGTCATGCTGTGTGCCCCGAAACAAGGTAGATGCGGTCGACGACAATCTTGGAGCCATCGGTAATGACGTCAGTAAGTATAACACATTTCTTGTTGCACTTTGGAACCCAGTTATTCTACCTCGTCATTGCCTAGAAACCATATGATTCCCCGTTTCTCATCTTGTACACCTTATTGAACACAAAGGTGCTTCTCGGTGTTTTATACACCAAGTTTGATTTGTCTTGGCCTTTGGTACTTAGACTGAAGTCCACTTGCTGGTTGGTCACTACAATCTGGGTGAGGCCTGATCACATCCATGGTTAATTGACCGTAAGTCCAACACCAAACTAAGCAAAGTTGTTTTATATTTAACAATAATAACCCAGTGTTTTACCCTTTTGATACGCAGAAAATTTACTTTTTTGTTATAAGGTATGTGGTGTTCACCGTGATTACATGAAGATATATGCAGAACTGTCAGCAAGGCAAAATAATTAAATATAGGAGAGTGTCATTAATGGGACGGCGTAGTGTGTGTCGTGCATTACCCCTCAACCACAAATGTCTACATTTCCTACTGCTCAGTTGATTTTAAATACACTAGGTCCATTTTCCTTATATATCAAGTAAGGAATGCTGTCACAATAATGTTATATTTAATGGAATGTGTATACCCGCTGTATTTTACTTTCTCTTATGATAAACTTCTCGTTTCCTTGGCACTGTAACAACGGATGTGTGACGACAATACTTCCCCCAGTCCACTCGTGCATCACAGGCCACACAGTCAACGTTATCTCCTCTCTAGTTAATATATTGATGCCTGCAAGCCTTCAGACTCTTAAGGTTCCCATCCAAAGAAGTCTTCACTCATCTCTTTGCTGACTAAAAGTCCACTGTCGAGCACAACTAATTATTATTAACACATTTCCTGTATCTTTCCCAATAGTATCAGGATTTTAGTGTTTCATACAGTTTTTTTTTTATTTCTTATGTACTCACAATTAATTCTTTGGACACTTAATTTACTATACTGCCAATTGTTGAATTTTTAAAGTATTCCATCATTGGTAAAGTAAAATTAGTGAAAGATCGCTTGTTTAAATTAGTGTATTTCTAGGGTGTCCTAATTACTAACATTTGATTTAATAAATACTAATTCAAATTGAACGCCAAATAGCACTCTAATACTACTTATCTGTTGAAATAGTGTTGTACTAATAAGTTTTCAGTTTATTGTATGAAAGTATGATCAGAGGGTATGATAGTTAATATTTGTTCATGCTTAGCAATGAAAGTTTCATGCAATTAAATCTCGGCTATATGAGTTATGGGAACTTTGAAGTATGTTAATGAATTCAAGGTCTCTAGAACAATAATTTAGGAGTGGACCATTAAGACGATCTCGTGTGAGCAGCGGCCGTCTGTGGTATATTTATAAGCGTACAAGGAAGGTGGAAGTGAAGTAGTGTGCTTGGCAGAGTTGTGTGAATGGGAAGGTTGTATTTTATGTTGTGACCCCTGGGTCATTGACGCCGGAGGCTGATGAGAGTAAATAGAAGAGTGCACTGATGTATTTTGATGTGGATGTATGTAAATGTTAATTGTGAATATGTAGGTGGGGTGACCCCGCCCCACTGGGCGTTTATGACTGCTAGACAGTTTGTTTTAAAGTATATTGTAAACGCCACAGAACACCTCCCCTCCCCCCCCCTGTTCCCCCTCCCCCCTGTTCCCACCTCCCCCTCCCCCTGTTCCCACATCCCCCCCCCCTGTTCCCACCTTCTCATTGCCCCTTTTCTTATTCCTTTCCATTTCCCTCCTTTCCCACTTCCTTCCCCTCATTACTCCCTCCTCCCAATCCTCGTCCCACTCCCACTCCATCCCATCTCCCCTCCCCCACCCCCCCCCTTTTCGTGGTGGATGAGTAGCTATTTGGAGTATTTTCGGGGTATTACTTTCGTGTATACTAATTTCTGAATTGTGTAGCTGTAAACTGTGTAAACCTTATAACTGGGTAACCCAAACAGGTCATAGAGTAGCTGCATGTTGCCCGCTTTCTTTAGCATATAACAGCGTAATTCTACACTTCCTTCGATCACCCACTTACCGTCATTCGCTCTCATCAGGTCCCCATCAGTTCTTCAGCGAGTCCAGCCGCCCCAGCTCCTCCTTCAACCATCACAGCAATCGACCCCTTGACAGACCCTCACACTTTGATTCTGACTTTGAAAACGACGATGATAGCTTTTTCCCCAATACACACAGACCCTCTTCTATTCTCAGACCACACCGGCCTAACGATAGACCTCACAGACCGCCCCATAGACCACCGCGGCCGCCCCCTTTCCGTCGACCAGAAACTGCGAGACCTATTCTCGACTTCGACGATAATTTTAGTAGTTTTAATCGGCCGCAAAATACCTTTAATCACTTTGACTCGTTTGACAACCGACCTCTCGACTTCCCACGCCCTGGATCGAGTCGTCCACGTCCACCATTTTTGCCTGCTGGTCCTACCGGGTCTGCTGTTAATCCTAATGGTATGGAAAGAGCTGTTCAGTGTTTTATATCGGCTGCCTGTCTTCTTGTGTCTGGGGGGAGGGGGGAAGTGGTGACTAAAACCGCATTTATCTGCCAAATACCATTTGTTTTACCCTTTTAAGAAAAACAAATATCGGGAAAAACAATACTGGAGTTATTGCAAACGGCATATTTCCTCGACTGCCATAAAAGATAGAAAAGGTTAAATCTGGAAAAAACTAAAATATGAGTATAAATGTGATTTCAGTTTTACAGTTATATGAAAGCTAAGAGACAAAAATGCAGTAGAAAAAATATTGCTGAACATTTTGATGAAAAATTAATGAAAGTTTCAAATGAGACAGAGAAACGCACCATATTTAAAGTGAATCATTGATGAGCTCGGTGCATAAAGTGCTTCAGTGTTGTGCTTCAGTGTTAAAAAATGCGTCAGTGGTGCGTTGAAGTGCTTCCAGTGAAACCGGACTCGTACGTGTTTTTTTCCTGCTCCAGTTACTTGCAGGAGAACTGGAGCCAGCCAGCCAGCGTGCGGGTAATGAAACAATACGTGATTACATCATAACATAAGAACAATAGGAATGATGCAAGAGTGAAAATAGATAAAAAAAACTCCTATCTACAGCGACAGGTTGCACTTGAACAGTCGAGATAATTCTCGGACAGGAAGCGAACAATGGTGCTCCCTGATCATGTGAAAATTGAAATTTGATTTAAACGTTTGTGCTATTTTAGCTGCCGAGAGTGAGTGAGTTTCTTCGAACAGTGTACTCGGTAAACTACCCGTTTCGTGTGAGTTATTATAGATTCAGCTACTCGGAAAAAGTTCAAAGTAGCACGGGCTATGGTGAGCCCGTAACTTACCTGGCACAGGAGCGGGTTAAGTAGCACAGGCTATGGTGAGCACGTGGTGGACTTACCTGGCACAGGAGCGGTGCACTTCGTGTGCGCGTATTTGAGTAAATAAATTGATAAAATACTTGGGCATACGCATGATCTATCAATCAACGGCAATGACACGTTAGCCTCGGATGCCAGAATTCATCCCAAAATCATATGAATCGAATGGAAAGCTATAATCGTAAATGACAGTTAATTTATGATAGGAAAAGTTTACATAACAAAATTACGGTGCAGTAATTACGTCACAGTAACGGCATAACACGGACAAATTAATGTGCCACAACAACGGATTGGTGACAAATGGTAGGAGGGCTTCCCCCTTCCATTTCCGGAAGCCCTAGTGATTATACACAGTGACGTATGAGGAAACCGCATTTGTTTAAAAAATATACGATTTCACCGATTTTGTCAGAATAACACGGATTATTATGTGAAAGGAGAACGTGAGAGAGAGATCTGGACGCATTATTTAATGATCATTCGCGTGTGAATGAATAAACAAGATAGAGCAAATGACCGAACAAGGAAATTAACTTTAGCTTTTACCACAGCCAAAATTTCAACAGAACTAACAATGCTCGCTCTGAACATTCACAACATTCCCTCGCACACACAAGTTTACTCCTACTGTCATCAAACTCTCACCAGTACTTCCCTACTGTCTGCAAACCTTCACCCGTACTTCCTCTACTTCCTCTAACCTTCAGAGATGCGTCCCATACTTCCTGCAAACTATTTCACACTTGATATAGGGATGTACATCCTGCTTTTCCCGTGCTTCTTGGTGGAACTGATGTGTTATGGGCTTCTGTTCAGCTTGGAGTCTCGTCTTGAGGCCAGGGATGGGGTACACTCTGAAGTGTTTGTAAATGAATGGATGTATGGACGGGTCTGAGGCTTAATAGGCCAATATACGTGTGGACTGGAGGGATGGGGGAAGGGATCTATGAGAAAGCACCAAGCCATTGAGTATATGGCACTTGGAAGGGGTCAGGGATAAGGATTTGGGATGGAACGGAGGAGGGAAGGAATGGTGTCCAACCACTTGGACGTTCGGAGATTGAACGCCGACCTGCATGAAGCGAGACCGTCCCTGTACCGTCCAACCCAAGTGGTTGGACATGGGCTGGAGGGAGGCTGAGCATATTTAAATTATGATTCAACGTCACTTGCTCTCTTAGCGTGCACGTACGCTTGCGCATATACAGTAAATACATAATTAAGTTGTTAATAACACGAGTCGTGACCAGTGTGTGTGTTGTGTATATTTCGTGTTATATTCTGGGTCTTTTTGCAACATTATCCATATTACTCAATTTCGTCCTTTAATTCATTATCTGTACGAATCCTGTCCAGACTATTGTATAGTCGATCATCCTACACGAGTCTTGAGCTTATAGCTGACCCGCCGGTGTTGACTTTACGACCAAATCTGTGTTTTATCTCGGTTATATCATCTCTTCCTCGACTACTCGGTCATGGTTTTTCTCCGTGTCACTTGGCCTCCCGTCCACGATGGCACCCGACTCAAGTTTGGACCGTATTTCCTTTTAAATTTTTTTCCACACGCGTGTTTGGCGTGTCTGCTCCGTGTCTGGCTGACGAGGAGACAAGGCGTGACCCATGACACGGCGTCAGAGCGTGGCGTGAAGTTAGCACGGTGGCTGCTGCTGAACAGACGCCCATTACACAGACTCCTCAGCCTTGGGCAGCCCGTATATCACCTCTAGCACTGGCGATAAGTCGCGAGAAACACACACATCATGTTGAACGAGTAGGGGACGTCAGTGGCGTTTTTGTGTTGTAATGACGTGACTGTGTGTATTTTCGTGGAGACAGGAGGTGGGGTGGGCATTAAGTGACATTAATATCCACGAACAGCTTTAGTTTTTACAAAATTGAGGCAATGGCAGCCATTACTTATTTTTGTGCATCACAGAGATTTTCATTATCAATATATGATAATATATTCAGTTATCAATGTATGATAACGGAAACTGCAGGCTACTTTTTTGATCAAGCGAGGCCCCGCTAATATATACCTTCCTAAATTCTTTCATATGTAGATCTAATACGTTACACTAAAGCAATCTCACCTTTATTGCTACCCTGTAATTGGTCCATAATTTTGTTTCAAGCTTAAATACACTGCACAATTCATTGATCAGTAATTAGTTTCCTTATTGTACTATTAAGCCTAGATCCCACAATTTACATACTTATACAAGCAATAACACGGTTAAGCATAGTTGTTAATAACTTGTAGAATCATCAAAACTTATCGACACGTAACGGCTACCTGTTACCTTTCGCAACCAGCTACGCTAAAGAGATTTGCAGAGTAACGAAGCAATTGCACAATTTAATTGCATTTAAAAGCTCTATTGTCATTAGATAGAATTGGATTTTGCTGTCGTAGTGCGTGTCTTATCGTTCGTTATATCGATCACTTTTCGTAACCCTGTAATTGGTATTGCTAAATAAACCAACCAAAATGAGTTCCCAAATAAACTTTTTGTTCTTAACTCTGTTGCAACAGTTTTTAATTTGTTGTGAAAATAAAGCAGAGTCTTGAAGCATATTTGGAAGCGGCTTCTCTACCATGTTAACGTAGCAGTGTTTTGCTTTCTGAGCAAGAGTAACTAACATAATATGTTTGACTATTAGTCTTGCCATTCTAATTTAAAAGTCGCATCGTTTTGTAAATTATAATCATGATGAATGCTAAATCTAAGCTATATCGTAGCGACTATATCGCCGTTGGTGGCGTATCGTGGCCTGACATTCTCCTCATCAGCTCCGGAGTTTCACAATTAGTGTTACTTAATCCGCGATGTTCTCACCTGAGCAGCTTTTCCACAGTTCTTTTACTGATAGTCACTGTGTTGACTTCTCTTCCCGTCCCATCACCCTTACCATTTCCCTCGGAAAGAAAGGGAGTTATCAGGGATATTGCTTAACCAGCACTAGGAAGGGATAGGAGGGGAGGATAAGACGGGCAATGAAGGGGGGGAGAGGGCAAGATTTTGCGGCTAGGAAAGGCAAAATGGAAAGTTGTAACATTCCATATAATATTCCAACTTTACTATGTGCCTTTTGCTTAGCCATAACCCCTTAACCCCCGCTCCATTTCCTACCCCTAAATTCTTAATTCTCAGCGACTTTCCGCACTCGTTCCATTCTTTAAACACTCGCCCCACCCTCTCCTTTGTTTCCTCGAAGTATTCGTTAAGTCCCAGACGCTAATGTACTCACTTAGCCCATATTTTCACCTCTTTGTTCCTTATGTACGTAGTACCTCCCGCAGGCACCCCTCCCCCCCCCCCCAAGTCTCGCCAACTACTTCGCTGCTCCCTATAGCCTCGTCTTCCTTTCACTACTATGCATTTTACACCTGCTTGGATCACCATATGCTAGTAAAGACCAGCATCACCCTCACTCCAAGGCTAGCATTAACAGCGAGAGACTACCAAACTATATTCCCGTCGGAACACAACAAATTATCGATGTTAAGAATTGCTATGAATCCCCAATCTTCCCATTACCCGTGAACACAGAACATGTTCGTGGATAGTGCGGAGGAGGGAGAGAGATTCTCTCGTTTGTTCATCTTTTATAATCTAACATGCAACCTGCGATTAGACTTGATGCTTTGCAGGTATGATGCTATCAACTGCAGTTTTAAAATTTCATTGAGTGAAATACATAGCAACATTAACGTTTTCACGGACTAATGGACATAGATAAGTTAGCTATGAGAAGACCAGACTACACCACACACGAGAAGGTGAAGGGACGACGACGTTTTGGCCCGTCCTGGACCATTCTCAAATCAAGTCACAATAGATTTGAGAGTGGTCCAGGACGGACCGAAACGTCGTCGTCCCTTCACCTAATAGTGTGTGGTCTGGTCTTCTCATTCTTCAGTCACGTTATTGTGACTCATCGCGTACATAAGTTAGCTATGTTTTCTAAGTTCGAATGTTCGAATTATGGTTAAAAACGCTGTACTAGAAATATAAATTACTTGTGAAAACTCCGAGAACAGAAGTTGTTTATAACTGGGATGTGTGTGTGAATAATAGGACGATACCATAGA